CTAAGGAGATTTCACAATCTCAATAAAGCACAACTAATAGAGTTGATCAAAAACCCTCCAAAGATAGATTCAGTTCCAATACCTAAGATAGACGATCTTGATTCACTTCCAAGACCTGCACTGTTGGAAAGAGCGAAAGAGATCGGCTTGGTAGGTCGTCATAGACTAAAGAAAAAAAAAATTGGTTGATCACATCAAAAACCCTCCCAATAAAAAAGAAAGAGCTGCGAAGAGAAAAGTAATACTAAAGCTTGTTAGAGAGTCTGAGGAAGGGTTAGACTCGTCTCTCACTGCCTCTCAAGGAGAAGAACTTGTTTTTCCCTCAATGTATGCTGCTGCAAAACACTTTGACATAAACCCTGGAAAATTTGGTATGAAAATTCTTGGAAAAAAAGAAGAGATGAAGAAAACAATAGATATTGGTTGTGTGAAATACATAATTAGATTTGAATAGAAATCAATCTATGAAGTAATCTACAATCCTGACGGATTATAAATTATTGATAACTCATATTAATTTTTTTTCATTCATGTCCAATTGCGTGTGTGTTTACTTTGTCCGGAAGAATGATTCGCTTGTCATCATCGGCGGACAAGGCGACTTTGTTGATCTCTTCCATATACATCTCATGCTTTCGACTCCGTAACGTGTTCATTTTTCGAAGCTGAGGTCCACCGCCAAACAGACATCTCTTATAGTCATCGAAGCTGATGGTTCGCTCTACCACTCCTGTCTTTACCCCCTTACACTTCTTCTCTTCTTTTCCATCTTCAAACATTTTGTAGCTGTAAAGCTTCGCTCTCAGACCAACAAACTCTTCAATGATCTTTCCTCCAGCTTCATCCTTGAACTTTCCAATAACTTTCTTGTTTACCCCACTCGGTATTCCAGAAAAATGATCTTTCGAAATGTTGCTTGTGTCAAACAGACAGTTCACATCATCTTTTATATCTTTGTAAAAGTCATCAGTCTGAATCTCATAACAAAGAGAATCTGTGTCGGTGAAGAGAAGCTTTGCTCTATCATCTCCATACTTGGATTTGATGTAGTTGTAGTGAAAGTCGTACATCAATGTCTTACTGATATCGAGGATACTCATTCCGAGATAGAGAGGTTTGTTGAAGGTAACTTGCGTCTTTCTCATATGAATCGCACAGAGATTCTCGGAGAATATGGTACATTGTTTGAAGTTCACTTTATTTACCAACTTTGCTGCCTTCTCTTCTGAGTTGACAAGTCTCACATCAACTCGGTTCCGAATGTTTTCCATCGTCTTGCCATATACAGAATTGTTCATGAGCTTGAAAAAGTCTTTCTCGAAATCGTTGTCGGCCTTGGTTCTCAACTCTGTGTTCAAATCGATGTACTTTTTCATCCAAGGGCTCTCTTCAAACCTGATGACGCGGTGAATCTTTCCAATCTCCATTCCAAGAGATTTGTAAAGCTTCAGAGTCTCGTGATGAATGATGTACTTCTTCTTTTCGTTCAAGGTACAGACCAGCTTTTTTACTTTACCAATCAACAGATTTTCAGGAGCGAGGGGATAGTCGTTGAAGTGATCGTGTTGTTCATCTTTGACAGGAAGCAGATCAACCTCAAGAATGCAGGGAAAATTCTCCCATTTTCCAAAGTCTTTTTCATTAACCCATTTGAAACCACCTGTCGGCAGACTCTTACTCATTGCCCAACCGTAGAGGTTGTTTGCATCGAGATACGTGATAAACTTTGAAGGTTGGGCAGGGTCAAACCTCGCCCCCATGTATTTGTTGTTAGCTTGAGAATGTCTTGTTGAAATCATACTAATCCCTCCACGAATACCTTTCTCAAACATATGCAACATGTTGACATCACTCAACAACTCAAGCTCTATCTCAGTCATCTTGAGACATGCATCCCAAGCCAACCCAGGCGCTGTGTAGTACCAACAGGGGTCGAGATCGTAGTTCTCCTTGCAAACCTTTCGAAAGTTTTCAAAAACATCACACAACAATAGAACATCACCTTTATTGTAAAGATTGTGATAATCTCGCATCGTCTTCATTCCGAAGGTTTTCCACACTTTCAGCGCATGACAAGAGTCTTCTTCAGAGATACCCCTACCACTTAACACAGAGATGAAAGCTTCATTCGGTGGAAGTGCAGTCTCATCAAGCTTGTGGATAGAATCCAACCATTCATAAGGATAGACACCCTTTCTCTTCAACAGTTCAAGCTTCTCCCCATCAAAGTATCTTCCTGTATTCACTAAAGAGTCATCCTTTTTGACGAGGTTGTTGACAAGCTTGTCAAGAGAAGAGGCCATGAATTTGAAGCTGTCAATAAACCTCAACTCTCTCTTAACCTCAACGTCTTTTTCAACTGTTTTTTCACCATTGAATTCAGAGTTATTTTCTTTTATGAGATTCAACAACTCTTCTTTTTTGAGTTTTGACAATTTGGAAAGACCGAGTGATTCTGCCACTTCTTTCAGTTCTTTGCGATCCATCAGCTTCATTTTTTCTTTTGTAAAACTGGCGACTGTCACTTCTTTTGTAAAGCTAATGTACTTTTCTTCGTTGTTGGGAATGCAATTAATATCACCCTCTGAAACACCTAGATTTCTGACAAAGAGATGTGCGTCATAGTTTGCCAAGTTGTGAAAGATGACAGGAGTGAATTTTGACCGTCGGAATCTCAGGTTGCAGCTGTTATGTGCAGCTCCTCGAAATTTACCGGTGTAATGACAATGCTCACGAACTTTTTCATCCCCCTCCTTGAAATCTCCTTCGCATAACCAACAACACGTTGCATTTTCAAAGATTTCAACATCACTGTCTTCGAAGATCATCTCTTTTGGTGGATGGTTTTTGTATATTGTCTTAACCTCCTCTTCAAGCATGTCAACAAATATCTGTGCAACATCTTCATTCTCAGACAGTGCTGTGTATTCAACCAGTCTCGAATATCTATCGTCAAATGAGCATTTAACATAGTAGCAAAAACTCACCGGGATATGTTGCTGCTTCTTCTCTGTGTAACACTCTTTAGGATTCGGTTGAATGGAATGCAAAGGTTTGATGATCGATTCAAAATCGGCATAGATGACGAACGGCATGTCCATCTTCTTGTGGTGGTTTTTGAAAGAGAGAAAAGTTCCAGAAGGTGGCATCTTCTCTCTCACAGCCTCATGTTCTCTACAAAGTTCGCTGTGTGTGTCAAGAAGTTTCTGAGTTCCGAAATGATTGAGACATCTCTTACAGATAAACTTTTTATGTCCATATTTCGACAATTCACGCGATACGAGTCGACTCATAGATTTGATAAGACAGTAATGATGCTTTTCACCAGCAGAGATCAAAAGAAGATCAATATGGATCTTGCTACTCTCGACATTGCTCACTCTCAAGGGTTGGAGTCCTCTTTCATACATGAAGACGTTGACGGTAATACCTGGATTCAATATTTCAAAGCGGGTAATGTTCTTCACCCCCATCGGAAACTCAATTCCGTCCCATTTCAATTTCTCTGCCTGCTTTCTCAAAATCTTTGTGATACACTCTTGGTCTTTTTTCACAGGATTCAATGCTCTCGTGACACACCATTTGAAACATTCATCATCCTCATTCTTCATGTTTATGATAGCCTTCTTATTTGCGAGATATGGTGACAGCTTAATGTATGAAGAACCTCTCAAAGGAGTGTATTTCACCGTGTGCAAATCCAACCCCGCAATCGAATGGATAACCCAACCGCTTCCCTCTCTTTGAAATTTAGCCAAGCTCTCCATCATTTTGTCAACACCCTTCTGATAAAGCTCTTCTCGATCGGTCTCTTGAAAGACAATCTCCATGAATGATTTAAAATACGCAAGCTTTAGCACAGTCTCGCCCGTCGCAATGTTTGTCTTTGACATATTACACCTCAGAACGAGCACCATCTTGATATTTTTCTGCGTTAATAGAAAGTCGATAACGATCGGTTTTACAGCTCGAAGAAAGTCCAATGCTCCATAACCTCCCACCCCATCAATCGTGTACATTTTTGCGAATTGTCTCAATGAAGACTTGCTCTCAACAAGTGTGAAACGGTGCTGATCTCTTTGTTCGTAAAGTTTAGCGATGTACGCTTTGAAATCTTTCAACTTGTCATCAACCACAACTCTCGGCGCATCCATCTCTTTCAACCATTGCCCCCAATCTTCTACCCCCCTTTTTTCCCCATTCAACAACCTTCTCAATCTTTTTCACTAGCAAAGCTGGTTTTGGCGGTTTCAAGATTTTCTGCCCCTTTGGAATCTCATGTTTAGGAATCGGATCATCGAGCAGAGACCCTCCTGCTCTCTCCGCAACTTCCTCCTCAATAAAATTAACAATTCCTCTTGGTCTCGACCGCTCGATAAACACAATGAGTTCTGCTTTTCTCAAACGTGAATAACCTCTCAACCCGAGGTGTTTTGCGAGTGCTTTCAACTGAAGCACTGTTTGTGAATTCATTTTTATCATAGTAAAGATTTTATTTAAATATATATATATTTTTTTATTTCTTTAAATCATTTTTTTTTTATGATAATTTTTATTTAACAAAAATTCAAAATAAATTTAAATAAAATTCAAAAAATATTTAAATAAAATTTTTTTTTTATGGGAATTAAACGGAAATTATCAGAAATTTATCAGGAATCCGCCAAAATCGGTGTATCCATAACTACTGAATTGTTTGCCGATGATGTTCTTAGCAAGGTTTGTATCCTCAGCGGTTCCTATGATGATCTCGGGAGTGATTCATCAATCTTCACTGGCCCTTTAAAATCTTGCTTCATTGTTGTGGAAGCCAGAATCCTGAAGGATGAGCTGCAATTCAAATCACAAACAAAATCATACAAATCCATGTTGGAATCGGCGAAACGAAATGTAGGTTAGAATATCTTCTAAAAGCATGCATCCTGATTGGTTTCAAGGGAACGTCATAATACAGCTCCCATTTAAACTAGCTTTAAGCTGAGCTATGCCAGCCTGCCCAAACATCGCAAATACATACAATACATAACATTGTCATCAGCTTTTCTTTGGCACAACCACTATACCCTGCTGCACGGGGCATGGAAGAAGCGGTGGTGCCCAAAAACTAAAATACATGACACACATAATTAAAAACACGTCATAAGTGTTAAACATTAGATGGCGACTGACTGAAAATTGGGATTTGAAGTTCTACAAACATTGCTATATGCTCCACAGACTACTGCAAGACCAACCAGTCATTCTAACCATGAAAACTGAGTTTACAAAGATCGAGGGTTTGCCTGTTTATCAGGATATTTTTCTATGTGCTGTTGTGACGAATTGTTCAATTTGGATTTCAGACTGAAAAATTGTCGTAATTATCAGTGACCGTGACAGCAACATGTCACTAAATGAAGAAAACTTTATTACATCAAGAATCAAAAAACTTCTCGACGACAAGGGCGTTATCTTTTGGCGGAAGGGGAACAACCCGCAAAAACAAACTCCTGGACACTCGTAGTCGTTTAGACGGAGAAGACCTCAAAAAGATAATGATTGTGCAGCAGTCACTGTATCGGTTGAAAGCAAGGCACATCATTTATGCTCCGATGACTTTACCCTCCTTTTAAAGGCCCGCCTATGTTATGGTGAGATTTCTCTTCAAGATGAAAATGAGAAGTTCGACGACGATAAGCTTCCGCCAGAGATCAAGAGAAGTTTGAGGGAAAATGGCAATCGACTGCCGATGCCGAATTGCTTGTTTTTCGGGAGAATAGAACTGGTGACTATCGCACCATTGTTAATTCCGTTGCAATTTCCCCAGTAGGTAAGGTGAACGAGATGTACTTCACAACTTGAGGGAATTCCTTTCGTCGGTTGTAAGAAATGTAACTGAGAACACTATAGTTCATTACGTTTGATGCACGATCCTCGCAGTAGAGAGCGCTATTTATGCAATAGCAAAAATCAGACCTGAAAAAAATCAGGCCTGTACGGGATTCGAACCACTGACCTCTGCGATACTAGTGCAGCGCTCTACCAATTGAGCTAACAAGCCAACTGGGAGCAGGCCGTTAAGTTGATTCGTAATAAACCCGTGATGATAAATCAGATACAATGAATATATGAAGTTCATATATTTTGAACTGCGGT